ACTTCCCCCGTGGGGGAAAATTTTTCAAAAAATTTTTTCTTAGTGTACATTCTCTTGACGTACCCTATTAAAACGCAATCAAAAGCGCAAAAACCCGCATCTAAAATAGTATAATAGAAGCCAAGTTTTTCACAGTAAGCCTTAATCTTGTCCNAAAGGGGGGGAAGAAGGAGGAAGAGGCGATAGATAGATAAAGGTAGGATCCCTACAGTTTCTAAAATAGTATATGCAATTTAGGGGAATAAAACCAAAGAAGCTCTTTATATAGTAAATATGTTAATGTTATCATTCAGTTCTTGTCATCAGTGTAAGCTATTTCCAAAATTATCACAACAAACAGATTGTGGTAATCTATATATATAATCGAGACAGGTTGATGATAATAATAATAATAATAATAAGCACAGAGTCCAAACGGTTAGGAGTTGAAAGTTGAAATTTGGTACATAGGGTACGTCACGAGAATGCACACTAAAAAGGGATTTTTCAAAATTCCCCTTTGCGGGGGAGAGGGACAGGATTAAGTCTTCAACAATGGAAGTGTTAAGTAACAACAGTAGTGTCAACAATGGAAGTGTTAAGAATGGAAGTGTTAAAAATGGAAGTGTTAAGAGAAAGCAACATGCAAGATTTACAGATGCAGATGCGGTTTTTTGCGTTTTTGCAGGATATCAAACATATTTTTAGACCCATCTAAAAATTCTCTAATTATTAATTAATTAATCTGGAAACAGGTAAGATTAACTGTAATGTAATAACCTTAATCTTCGCTATCGTTACTTTTTGCCTGAGCAATGCAGGGCTTATCTGCTAGTTTTATAATACAATTGTAAAGTACAATAAACAGATTATACTTTATTTTAATTTAAAAATAACAAACTTTTGCTTTCCTAACATAAGTAAGATGAATATATAATCATTTTATTTACTTTAACAAAAATAACATAATACATATTAATTATAAATAATTTAACTTTATATTTTGTTTTTCTCATTGCAATTTTCTTCATTATAATACTTTTCAAAGCACCAAAATTAATAAATTATTGTGACCCATTCATAAAGAATATTTTTAATTTTAATAGTTATCTGTCACTTGATTATTTATTGGTCTTTGTTAGCCATCTTGCCACGAAAGTGCACCAATTGTCTGTGATGTCATACAATAATAATGGTAGCATTAGAAAGAAAGAAATAACTTGAATCTGTTAAAAAGGAGTCAATATATTCAATTAGATTTCATTTTGATTGATTTAATAAGGATTAACATCAAATATACTTGACCTGAATATGGATGATAAATTCCAAAATGTGCTTAATCAAATTAAATATGAACTTTCTACTCAATAACCATGTAACCAGCAAAAGAACCACTCACTTTAAAAAGCGAACATTTTTGTCCAATTTTTAAAAGGACATCTTCAGGTTGATGTCCCAAATTAAAATCTGTTAAAGGAGTTAAATTAAATATTTTGACATCTTTCAAGTTTTCTTTCTTTCTAATGTATACTCATGGACTTGTCTGTTCTTGTTTCATATGGTAATGGTAGCACATGCTTATTACTCATTTTTCACTAAGAATCACTTTTAATGGCAAATCAGTGTAAAATGTAACAATCATGAATGAATTCAAAGTGAGGAAGACATTGACAACAGATGCAAAATCATAAATGGTTACAATAATGATGAAATTATGTAGTCAAAGTGCATTTTTCTTTTTTACTTCTTTCTGCCCTGTGCACACTAAGAAGACCTTTTTTCATACTCATTATGAGTTTGGCCCACAATGAGGTGGAACTGGGTTGTAAAAGACAAGACTGTGTAAAAAAAATTCCGGGGATTGCTTGTTCAGATTCAATCACAGGTTCCTCAGAGTGGTAGGCTGACCCTTAAATCATCATGGTTATCCAGACATCTGTCAAAGTGCATTGAAGAGTTTATACAGCCTTAAATAAAGCACTTCTGCTATTATGTACCCTATTTGGAGCACAAGTACTTCTTGTGATGATACAAATTATATATAAAATGAAGTGTCCCAGATGCATTCATGTTAATATTTTAACAAAAATAAAAAATAAATATACTTATTAATTAAAGACAAATTAAATAAGAAATTTTAAAACTGAGTATTCCCCAATAAAATTCAGCATTTTCTTTTAAAAAATACAATTTTTTTCTTGTCAAATTAAGAACTTTTTTAAATATCAAATGAACTCTTTTTAAAAAATTTTAAGAATAATGCAAAATTAATAAAAGTCAAATATAAAAATTAGTGAATAATTTCTGTTTGCTGTCATCTAGTAGTGAAGTATATTTGTCACTATATTTAGATCAGGGGTTCCCAGTCAGTTAAAAAATTCGAACAAATCCTTTATCACACAGATTGTTTAAAACCCTTGTAGAAAAGGATGAATCTTCCCAAGCTGATTTTATCTTAAATACAGATATAAGATGGTTAAGTAAATGCAAAGCACTTGGCCAATTTTTTGATCTTTTGGAAGAAATAAAAAAAAGTCAAATATTTGAGAACAGTTAGATAACCTACAATGGTTGATGGACTTGGCTTTTTTAACTGATGACATATGTGAAAAATTGAACAGTTTAAACCTGGATCTCCAGGGAAAAAAATAAACATTTAGCTGAAATGATTAGCTCTATAAAAGCATTCAGAGCCAAAATACAGTTTTGGATAAATAATATGTTGAAAAATAATCGTGTATACTGATGAAAAAAGTGACTGATGAAGATAATTTTGACCAAACATTATTTATTACTCATCTTGAAAAACTTTTGGAACAATTTGAAAGTAGATTCCAGCAATTTATCATTATCAAATCCATGGCTACATTTTTTATAAATCCTTTTACTACACAAGTACACATTATTGAAACTGCTAAATCTATATATACATACATACATACAAGAAAAACTTCGGCCATACGTGGAGTGTTTAGCCGATGGAAAAGAGGGTAAGGGAAAGGGGGGGAAGAAGGAGGAAGAGGCGATAGATAGATAAAGGTAGGATCCCTACAGTTTCTAAAATAGTATATGCAATTTAGGGGAATAAAACCAAAGAAGCTCTTTATATAGTAAATATGTTAATGTTATCATTCAGTTCTTGTCATCAGTGTAAGCTATTTCCAAAATTATCACAACAAACAGATTGTGGTAATCTATATATATAATCGAGACAGGTTGATGATAATAATAATAATAATAATAATAAGCACAGAGTCCAAACGGTTAGGAGTTGAAAGTTGAAATTTGGTACATAGTTAGGGTACGTCACGAGAATGCACACTAAAAAGGGATTTTTCAAAATTCCCCTTTGCGGGGGAGAGGGACAGGATTAAGTCTTCAACAATGGAAGTGTTAAGTAACAACAGTAGTGTCAACAATGGAAGTGTTAAGAATGGAAGTGTTAAAAATGGAAGTGTTAAGAGAAAGCAACATGCAAGATTTACAGATGCAGATGCGGTTTTTTGCGTTTTTGCAGGATATCAAACATATTTTTAGACCCATCTAAAAATTCTCTAATTATTAATTAATTAATCTGGAAACAGGTAAGATTAACTGTAATGTAATAACCTTAATCTTCGCTATCGTTACTTTTTGCCTGAGCAATGCAGGGCTTATCTGCTAGTTTTATAATACAATTGTAAAGTACAATAAACAGATTATACTTTATTTTAATTTAAAAATAACAAACTTTTGCTTTCCTAACATAAGTAAGATGAATATATAATCATTTTATTTACTTTAACAAAAATAACATAATACATATTAATTATAAATAATTTAACTTTATATTTTGTTTTTCTCATTGCAATTTTCTTCATTATAATACTTTTCAAAGCACCAAAATTAATAAATTATTGTGACCCATTCATAAAGAATATTTTTAATTTTAATAGTTTAACAAATTTATTTCATTGTTCCAACCTTGAACATTGACAGAAAAAAAAATTTTATATTTAGATAGTAACTTCATATTATAAACAAGTAAAATGGCAAAACCATATTTGGGACAAGACTATGTCTTGGAGATTACTAAGCAGAATCACTCTGACGCTCAAGGCAGGTCTCATTCTCATTCTCCAATCTTCTTTGGTATCACATCACTGCTTTTGGGCGCAATCGTTCAAACTTCACCGGCCATGACCACGAGGTTGTCCACGATGCATTTTCGATGAAATTAACCTACCCAATTTTAAAATTTCTCTCCATTGCATGTCGGCCCGAGTTGAATTTTTGTCGATGTGTAATGAAAATTTTCCGTTTTTGGAAAAAATAATCATAGCTATTGTATCGCCTCCAAAATGATTTTTTATTTTGCACAAACAATATACAGTTTAACCCAATTATAACATCATTGGATGTAAAGACAACTCTAATATAACATCAAATTTTTATTGGTCCCACGATTTTACTATACTAGATAATGTTAAAAAATCTACTTGTAATGACATAAAACCCTGTTTTAATGTCATATTTGAAGCACTCCCAAATTTACAAAATTAGATTACAAATCTTATTTAGCAAAGAAAATACTACATGTTCAATCCTAGGGTCAGAGTCCACTTCCTAGAACGACTGTGGGTAATACTCTCACCACCTGACTTCAGTTTGCCTGGTTGTAGAGTCGCCATTTTGTATTTTATTTTAACACAGTTCCTTGAGTACCTACAAGTCTGGTTTTTTTGTGTGTGCATGATTTGGGCACCTAATACTCTGTGCCAAATTGCAACTCCTGACAAGTACTCCTTCATATCTCTAAGCTGGTAACCCAGTCAGCAGTATGATTTTATAAACAAGACATAGTCTTGTCAATAGCTACAGGTCATTTTATTTTCAAAACTTTGCAGTAAAAATTCAAGAAAATAAAATTTATTGCATGTTTATTTAAATGCTTCAAATATACAAATAAGTTCATATTCAATAAGATAGATAATCCTAATTAATTAGCTATATTTTAATTTAAATTTCAAATGAATGATTTTAATTACTTACTGTTTTGTTTCTCCTTGACATATTTCTAATGTTGGATCATTATATGTAAAACTTGCTTCAAATAAATCATTTATACATATTTTATAAATTCATAATAAATGTTAAGAAAAATATATGAATGAAAATTATTATTTTATAATAAGTTTACAATATCTTTTCAATCCAATAGAGTCTTATCTCCTTGTATAATTATATTCATTCTTTTAAGAAAATAGAACTAGTAGACTTTAAATATATTGCAAACTCAATTATTATATGTTGCTTTAACAATTTATTTTTATTGTAATCTTTGAAAAAGATATTGAAAGATATTACTTTGTTTTTAAATCTTGAATTTCTTACATATAGAAATTAATAAGTAACTTTTACTTATTAATTAAATTATCATCATAAAATTTTTAAAAGAACATTAAAAGAATATTAAAATAAAGTACTAAAAATGAACAATTCATTTTCATTATTAGTAATTTGTAATAATTTCAACAAGTTGAAAATTATATATTTAAACTTCAGTATGAAATACATACAGTAAAACCTGTCCATAAAGAAACCTCAACAAAATAAAAACCTCTTTAAATTTAAATAAAATAACTTCAGAATAGAGCTATTTTCTACATTAAGCATTGCAATCAGAATTTCTGACATATTGCATACTGCACATTGTGAGTTCAGCCAGGCCTACAATGGAACCAAACAGGTGATAAGGAATACAGCCTGACATATCCAAGACAGATCATCCAGGAAAATTTCCCAAAGAGTTGCTCACCTGGATTTAATCCCATGACCCCAGAGTGGTAAGTTGATGCCTTAACTGTCTCAGCCTTCTGGCAATCCCAAGAGTGATATATCAATTTTTGATTCTCAAAATGGCTTGTTTGCTGTCATTTGAGCTTGTAACGATCACATCCAATAACTCTTAGTATTCAAAAACTACATATTAAAAAATTATAATAAAGTTCTCCAAAATAATTAAAACTTTTAAGAATCAAATAGTTCTTGATTTTTCATATGAATAATCTCATCTTTAGTTGGAATCACTTTGGTGAAACAGTATAGTATAGTGTTTAAAATGTTTTCAATCAATCAAGTTTAACTTGGTTTAAATCACTTAGTAAAATGCAAACATCATTTTTGCTTTAATCAATGTCCATTTTGTTCATTCNGCTGTGTTCAAGGTCACCCAGCTGTGTAAACAATGACTCATTGGTGTTACATTTCACAGACAGGCGAAACAAAGGAAAATAAAATTTAAAGCTTTTTCTTCAAAATAAACGCATTTCTTTCGTTTTTTTTCTGTTTTAAGTATTTTTTACGTTTAATTGAAATCTATATAAAAAATGTCAATGTCCTTAAGGAGTTAATCCTAAAAATAAAAATACTGTATGCAATAAAAGCAATTTACTATAAAAATAAAGATATCTGTATGACATTTATCTGGTTTAGACATTAAAAAAGAAAATAATGCTACAATCTGTTCAAAACAGAAACTTGAAAAAATAAAAAATAATAATAATATTCAATATTGTGCAATTCCCATTTACACATTTTCATTTTTATATATTAACAGAAATATTATTTCCTTTATATCATAAAATATTGATAATTCTGAAGTTAAACTTCTTTGCTGGTATCAGTAAAACTTGTTCATGGAGACAGAAGAAAACAGAACTTACATTAGCTATAGTTGGTTTGTGTCAAATGCTAGTACCAGATGACTGGGGAAAAGTAATCCAAGACTTTTAATCCCCAAAATTAGAAAAATCTCTCATCAAATTCCTATTAGGATATAAAAGTGAATAGTAAAAACTTTGTGAACATTTTGTCTAATTTTGATTGCTTTTGTTTGAATTACACATTTTGAATCTACAATTTTTAAGTTCAGACCTTAGTCATAAGCATTGTATAAACATCAACATTTATATAATTTCCATTAAAAAGCTATAGTTATTACATAAAAATATGTTTTATAATTAAATATGAGATAAATTTGAAATGAAGTAATTGATTAAAAAGTCAATTTTTACAATTGAATTTGTGAAATTAGGACCCATTTTTGAAAAATAACAGATTAGTCAATTTGATTTAAAACAAAGATTTTACAAATAGAACAAAGTGTGTTCAAGGTTACTGAGCTCAAATTCAAGCAAACAAGCTACCAAAAAAAAAAAGCATCTAAAACTTGCCTGAACTGTAACAGAGAATAAAGAAAATGATAGTAGTAACTATAGACATGATTACAACAAGATCAACAACTAGTTTATCTTTGCTTTCAACTAACCATGCTGCACCACCAGTATCATTAGTAATCGACTAGTAATGAGAGAAACAAAAGCCCTGCCTATATTGTCTTATGTCAATTACAATCAGAATTTGTATTATAAGTTTGAACAAAAACATTAATGAAGAACAACTTTCACTCTCTATCTAAATTTATAAAATTGCTTGTCCTGACTCACTCACTGATTCATCATCGCCCAGACCAGACCGCTTAACCTAAAGAGGTGAAATTTGGTAGACAGTTAGGGGATGTCATGGAAACGCACACTAAGAAGGGATTTTTCGAAATTCCTCCGTGGAGGGGAGAGGGAGACGATTAAGGCTTAACCAAAACAACGGCTTCTAATGTACTATTTTAGATGCGATTTTTTGTTTTTATCTGCGATTTAGTAGGGTATGCCATGGCAATGCACACTAAGAAGGGATTTTTCGAAATTCCCCCACAGGCAGAAGAGGGAGAGGATTCAGTCTTCATCGAGTACTTAGGTGTATTAAATTAATAATATTTCAGACATTGTTATAAATATTTTTATCTATTTCGATTTTAAAAATGTTCGAACCATTTTAAATTTGAATTTGTTATTGCATATTGGTTCGATTACAGAACGATAGTAAACGTTCCAGAAAATTGATCAAATTGAAAATAGTTTGTTTGATTTTCGGCAATTCTCATCATTTTCGGTGGTAAGTGTTATATAACAATTACTACGGTTGTTGAAATACTGAATATAAATGGGGTTTGCTTGCAAAATCCATGCGGGCAAAGCCGCGAGTAACAGCTAGTGTTACATATAATCAGTAGTGTTGTTCAGCATTTTTAATTTACAATCATTTATGGTTTTGAACCAATGTGTACAGATACTTCAGTAATATACACTGCATTTCCAAACACCAATATTGTATTGTATAATAATTGCATAAAAACAAAATAAATTTTCAAAACAAAGAAGTTTTCTTTATAATAAGCTGCAAACATTAATATTTTTTACTGTAAATTTTATTTGCAGTAAAAATTTTACTGTAATTAAATTCAAGAAATAAAGTATAGCTATTCTAAAAAATTTATCATAATAAAAATCTGTCAATATAAGACATATTTATATCTCAACATATGAACATAATTATTGTCCAAATCTCTAAATAAGTTAATATTGTAATAATCATATTTGTTATTGGATCAACAATAATATTCTTTTATAATAGGGTATTGAAATTTTTTCTAAAAATTCTGTTAAAATCTTAATATATCAACATATTAATTTTAAATAAATCAAAGATTTTCTCTGTAGTTCTAAGTAAGGTATAAATAATAAACAACATAAACTTGCATTATGAAGTAATTTAACAATTATTTGATTTTTCAGTACTTTTTAAAAAATTAAATACATTCTTGAATTATATAATAAAAATTTTTTCACATAATTTTAGAAAAAACAATTGATCATTGTAAGGATACGACACTGCTTGCAGTTGAGTTTTATTCTGTGCAAATCATTTCTTGATGGAATAATTGTAAGCTCTGTAAAAGCCTGAAATAATAAATATTAAAATTTCATCTGAATTAAAAAAAAATTTAGTACAATTAAGTTACAAATAATTATAAAATCCATATAATTCTAAATATCTTTCCATTGCTATTTTTAATTTTAAAAAAAATTTCTTTAACTACTAATAATCATACATCTACTGATAATTAAATATTATTGGAATCTTTTTCAAACAACACTTTTTATTTACAAAAACAATCTACGATAAAATTATTTTTACAACAATTTTAAATTTAAATACCATATTTTCTTGATTTTAAGATGCATTTTTATCCATTTTTACTCTTCTAAAATAAAAATGCACTTTACAATCATTGATGTCATACATTCACAGTTCAAAATAACAAACAGAAATCATGAGTAGAACATGTGATAATTTCTGATGATTGACGCATTTTACACAAATAACAGAGGTTTTTAGTAAATCTGTCCAATGGTTATATAAGATCAATAAGCTTTACTGATAGTGAGAATTTAATTTAAACTCCTTTTCAACTTTTAAAATGTCTTCAAGAATGCATAATGCAGCATTAAAATGAACATAGAAACAAAACTGCCAAACTATATATTTTATGACATTTTTATTGCTGACTCTGATTGTGGGCACTAAGAGAGTTTTCCTAATGCCTATTGTGGATTTGGCCAGGCCACAATTGTAAGTTTGCCGACGTTGAGGGAGAATAAAGTCTATCTCGCATCAGAATGAGCCTAAGGGAAACCGCGTATGTGGGCGGTGGCGAAGGAGGCAAATGATGTACATGTGTTTTACAAGATAAAACCTGTTTATTTGTTCGAATTCATGCTTACATCGATATTGGACAATTCCAAAATCTCGCCGCTCCTGGGAACGGCGAAAGTTCGTATGTTTGGTTGCAGTTCGGGCAGACGAGAAGGATATCTGGACGAAGCAGAAGTTTGTTGTTACGTTGCGGCGTCCTTGGTGATCGGCGGATGCACAACACAATCTAAATCACCACTGTAGGCTTAATCCGGAAGAGACTCCCTTATAGTTTTTCCCCCACTGTTCACATTTTGGATTGGTCCCTCGTCCCACTCCTCGCTTCCCAATTGGTCTCTCCTTTGTCTCCAGGAGCAAGACGAAACCTTTTCGGGTCGCAGGAAAGGTCCGATTTGAGATGTCCATCTGATACCTCTTTGTCGACTCTGCTCGGTGACTGTTTATAAAACAATAACACCTGCACTCATAACTCAAGCCGTTATTTACCATTTTTTGAAGTCTAAGAATTTAACGATCCTTTTCATCTATCAAAAATTTACTTTTTTTTGTTCGATAGGTTTATCTCGGTCAACATTTTATAGACACGCGTGTCAAAGATCTACCTGTTTATGAGTGCTCGTATTAGAGTTTGTCTTCCACTAAGACCTTGACAGATAGTTTGACACATACTCGAACCGTTCCAAGTCTTGTTGTTTACATTTTGTGTCACGCAAGAATTTCACGGTTTACTCGAGTTCGAACCTCGTCTGGGAACTCACACAATGGGATAGCCAGGTGCTGAGGAATAGGGCCCAACATATCCAGGTTCAAACAAAAATTCCTGTGATTTTACAACTTTCCAGATTCAATCTCAGGTCCTCCAGAGCAGTAGGCTGATACCTTAACTGCATTAGCCATCCAAATGGCCATAAAACAATATTACAGATGTCATAAGTATAATCTCAAGTAATCACAATTTTAATTAATCATAAATTTTTTAAGATAACTTTAGAATTGTTAAAACAATTAAAATAATTATATTATTTTGAATTTTAAAATCACAACACTTCCAAACCTAAAATCTAGGTGAGAGGAACAAATGTTTTCAAACTTTACAAAGACCATCTTCAGGTTCTACTGGTCGAATGCAAATCAAGCAAAAACAGAATTTAAATAACATTTGTTGCATACAAACTTCACACGTGCAGAAATGCAGTAATAAGTTATAAACTAAAAATGAAACTGTGCAGAAATTTCATTCCATTTTGCTGGATGTTTGTATCACTTCATGAAAATTTTATCCCATACTATCTATATGTTTAATTATTATTTGAAGAGATGAGAGCAGAGTTGACTTTGACTGCCCCACAACCTCTATTTGAAGCATCTTCCATGCTTTGTTTGTAATTCCCTTTCTGTACTCACAGACAAAATATTTGCTGATCCTGGTCCACAAGTTTCAGAATGTGGACTTTTGTTCACAAGTCTGAACAGAAAATTCTATAGCAATATTGCCCAAACTAAGCCCTGAGTCAAATCAACACTCTTTAATCCAGTCCATGAATATATTTGACACATCACTTTAAATGCTAGAAACAGACCTACTTTTTCTATATATGAAATATACAAAATATTTGTGTACTATCTACTTATGCAGAATTTGGCTCTGACACCACTGGTCTAAAGTATGAAAAATCTTCCTCCCAGGAACTTCTTAAGAGCCAAATAGTTCCATTATTTATAACTTTCTTCATATACTTTTATAACCACTTAAAAGGGGTTTTTTGGATGAATAAACCAAAATGTTATGTCCTTCAAATCCAACACTCACCTGAGTTCAAGAATTACTTAGATGATGATATTTTCTAATACATTTTTTTTGCAAGATCAGTGGAGGTTGTTATTTTTATCATCATTCTGGTGTTCATTTAAACAGTTTAATAACTTTCTAGTTGTGGCACCTATGTAAAAGATCTTTGTTCCCTTATGCACTTGCTGTAATGGGACTATATACACTCAAGACTTCTCCAAAAGGGTAAGAGAAACCCTATCATTATATCATTACATAGAATTCTGCGAGTGACAGCTGCAGTTTGATGGTTTAGTGTGACCTCGTGTCTTTTATGAGCTTCAACTATTTGTAAAGTTACAGATCTTAAGCATGGGATAGAAGGCTTTGTAAATATTAGCTTCTAATAAGTTTAGGTTAAAAAACACTCCTATAATTAGAATAACATAAAGAAATTTTAAAATCAATATTCAAATTTTGCATATTCTTTTTCCATTTGAAGAAGATATTTTGAAATGTCAGAAGTACTTGCATATATTTAATTCATCAAAAAAAAAATAAATAAATCTAATTCCAAAAGATAGTTCAATTGTTTTCTTATAATTATTAGGCATTATAAGAGCTCATTGAGCTTATAAAGTTTTGTAAACATATTCATATGCAAATGTGAAAATGCTTATAAGTAACAAAATTTTAAAAATTTCTAACCATTCTTGTCAATTTAGATTTACATGGCTTATTTAAATCAGACATAAAAACTGACACACAAAATACAATAATTATTTAAATTCATGTATTCCAATTATTATTATTATTAATTTCAAGATAATGAATGATATTAATCAAGATTACTTACTATTAATGACTGTCTTTGAAAATTGATGTTGGTAATGCATAATACTTGATGACACGTATAAAAAAAAATAAAAATAATAATAATTATATATTAAATAAAAATAAATTTTAATTTAAATATTTTTACTATTTTATATCAATACAGTAAAACCCCGAGTATCTGAGATAAAAAACACCTCAGAAGCTGAAAAATACTATAAATATTCATAGAAAACTTCCATACTGGTTTCAACAGCTAAGTTTATTAACCTGATGATCTCTGATGATCAAAAACATTCATTTTTGCAATAAATTTAGTTGCTGGAACCAGTATGGAAAATGTCTATTTATTTCAAAAATGAACCTAACACCTATATGCAATTTATAGCAAATAACTATAAAGTTCTAACATTTCTGAGACCCTCATCAGGAATAAAACAAAAAACAGTTCTATCATTTGACAAAGAATACCTTTACATTTAAAAGATCAATTCCAAATATTCAAAAATATGTTTGATATGTGTCATGACGCACAGTTTAAAGCATAAAAATAAAAAAAAAGGCTTTCGACAATTCAATTGTTTACATGGCATGTTTTTTAGACATTAAAAAGTCTGTTAATTACTTCTTTATGCTAAAAATGGGTCATTTATGGCATCATTGATGACTTCAATTTTATTTCTATTAATCAATGTATTATTATATCAAGTTTATAATTGTATAAAATACAATCACTAAAATCCAGACAACAGAAACAACTAAAATCCAGAAAAACTCACTTTACTAAAATAAAATGAATGTTTTCAACATTTTTAAAATATTGTGTTTAAATACAATGGAATGCAAAATGGAAGATAGAATACAATTTGAAAATTAAATATCATCATCAGATTGAATGAAACATAATGCTATGTAGTTGAGGTCATCATATTTAAGCAATGGAGAAACACATATTGGACTAAAAGTATATTTTGAACAGAGACTTCATGCACTGTAAAAGGTCTCAGGCTTTCCTACATTTAATTGCAGAGTCTTTGGAGGACGCTTTATAGATTGCGTCCTCCTTATGCATTGTTAATGACTTCAACAATATATTGCAACTTATAACTATTAAACACCAAAATTGGCAGAACTCTTCTTTAATGAATATGACGTGGACAGTAGCTAACAACCAACGAAAAACATTCAGAGTGACATCATGTTTTGGAATCACTTTGGTGAAACAGTATAGTATAGTGTTTAAAATGTTTTCAATCAATCAAGTTTAACTTGGTTTAAATCACTTAGTAAAATGCAAACATCATTTTTGCTTTAATCAATGTCCATTTTGTTCATTCATAGTGGTTCAAATAAAAAGACAGAATAATGATTCACTGACTAGGAACAACCAACATGTAGGGACAATTTCACAAACAACAAATATCTGACTCAAGAAAGACATTACAATACCTTCTTGAGAATCCTTACTTACCAATCTTACTCCCACAGACTAAAATAAAAGAGTAACATGAAAGGTCACAGGTTCCACTTAGTATCAAAAGGTGAAAGCCATAGCAACAAAATTGGTTAAAGATATCACAAAAAAATGTTTCTCTACAACTGCTTTGAGTGACACAGATGCTAACAAATACATAGCTGCAGAAGAAGCTTACTTTGAACATGATGTGGTAAAAAACTTTGTGCATGCTATATAATAAAATTTGTAGTAAAATTTTGATTCCTTTTTGGCTCTACATTGTAAGTTATATGTACAGTATATATATAACACATCACTCAATAAATAATCTGATGATATTTAATTTTCAAATTGTATTCTATCTTCCATTTTGCATCACTCAATAAATCTCCAGTCTGACACATATATGGCAACACGGTTGACAGACCCATACGATTTCTAGATAGTACTAATCTTCAAATGATGTGTCAAAATTTTGTGACATTCTGACAATTAGTTTACAGCAGGGGTGTCCAACCTTTTTGTTTCTCTGGGCCGCATTAGAAGAAGTCAAGGAGTTTTGGGCCACCAGCAGTAGCGTAGCGTAGGGGGGAGCGGCAGGGGCGACCCGCCCCGGGCGGCACTTTTTAGGGGTCGGCAAAATTTCACAATAAATAATAATAATATCTTGTAAAAATTTGTACCATTTTATTTCATATTTTCATCCACCTACGACTCGGACTAATTAAAATGAGCACGGCAATAGTGTTACCATCCATCCGGATAGTCCGCGAATCGACTCGCAGTCCGGGGATATCATGCGCAACCTGTTGACCTTATTTTATTTTTGTTTTTTGTTTTTTTTCTTTGATTGTGCGATTCATTTGTAATCATATACACCTCCAATATCCAATAGTGCTAGGTCATTTGCGTTACTCCTATCCAAGTCTCCCTAGTCGCTAACTGTAACTGATTTAGAACGGGCATGCACTGCAAATTATTCTTCGCATTGCAAAATGATATACGCATGCGTCAGGAATTTCTGTTCGAACAAATCTCACCTGCCATCAGGGTTGGCGATTTAAAAAATGTGGCAACACTAGCACGAAATTTTTCATTACTTATTCTGTGACGAAACTGAATTTTAGTCTTTTAAATTGAGATACCTAAATAAGGGGCGGTGAAATTTTCCTCTGCCCCGGGCGGCTGACACCCAAGCTACGCCACTGGCCACAAGTACTGTACATATAATATATACTTGTGGTTCAATATACAAGTATATTTAAGGATTATCATGTCTAGATTATAATAATAAGTATTAAAACTTTATCAAGATAAAGGATATTTTAAAAATTACTTCTACAGACACTTTTAATTTTTATTTAGAAATAGATAAATTCATTTATTATAAAGGAGACAAAAATTTATTTGAAAAACACAAATATTTGTTTTATTTGAGTCTCTAATTAATAATAAGCAACGAAATAGAAGAGAAGGTGGTATTATGGAACCCCAATTATATTTTAGTGAACTGTAAACGAAGTATCATAACTACACCCACATTTTTTGTGCGAAAAGTACTGGTAACTAGTAAACTAAATGTTCCTAATTGGATTTTTCGCTAGTGAAATTATAAGTATGGTTTTTGAAGGCTTTTGTACAAAAAGTCCAAAAGTAGGCTTAGAGAAAATCGGGTGGTAATATGGAACCTTACTGTATATTTTCAAAAAAATGCTTTAATGTAGCCAAAAACAAATAGGAAAGGACAAAAAATGTTAAATAATTACAAAATTATTTACTCCAATGTATTTTATCGCAAAAATGCTTTTATAATAGAAAAATATGACCTCCATCAACAATATATATTCCAGCAGCTCTTTTTCGATATTTTCAGACTTTCTACCTAGTGTCTTTTTCCCAAATTGCTCCGGACGAATGTCTGATTGCAAAGAGAGAGTTCGGAGGAGTTGAGTTCCATATTACTGTAAAAGCACCAAAGGGGTCCGTATTTCACGCATCGCCATCTCGAATTAACTTATGTCTGTCGAGACCAAAATTTAAAAAACGTGAACATCACACAGATTAATATGTACCCCTAAGTCTCTGGAACGGAATACATGCACCAGTGAACCTACAACTACACGATTTATATTTTAAAAATAATTAAATTCACTTAGCATTCAAAACTTGCGAATTTTGAAAAAAACAAATTTGCTGATTAAATGCGGACAACAGTTTAACTGAAGTAAAACGGGTTTTCCCCTTGCTATGGATGTCTGCCTAGTTCAGTTTAGCCACATTCCGCTACAGTTCGCCTTTATTATCAGTTCGAAATGGGGTGGTTCCATAATACCTGCAGTGTTCCATAATACCACCTTCTCCTCTACCATTTTAAAGTGCATTTTTATTCAACTAATATAAATAATATGTAGCCCAAAAGTAGCCAAAGCGCCAAATGATATTTTTTACGTCAAACAAAAAAAATAGCCACATTTGGCGCAATGTAGCCAAATCTTGCAACGTTGGAAAAAATACTAAATAAAGCTGGAGTTGTGAATCAAAGGATTATAGACCCAAGTGCAGGAAAAGAAGAGAAAGGACAAAAGATAAAATAGTGAGAAAGGTTGGAAAATTAAGGGTCAACAGAAGATCTATTTAACCTTTCTCACCACTACATCTTTTGTTTTTCTCATCGTTCCCTCCTTTTCAGAAATTTGGATCTATAATCCTTTGAGTCACAACTCCAGCTTAATTTAGTAATCCTTCCGCATTCACACGTCTCCAAGTATTTGAAAATATTTACTTTCCACTCAAGAATAATATACGAATAAAGGTTTACGGCTTTGTGAAGCTTCTTTTTTGAGTTTATGCCGTTGAAATAGATAAATAATAAAAAAATTAAAACATTTTGTCGGTTCTGTTTACATGTTTATTGGGCCGCATTGAAACTTGCCTTGGGCCGCATGCGGCCCGCGGGCCGCGGGTTGGACACCCCTAGTTTACAGGTTACAGTGGTTTTAGTAATGCCAGTTTTGTAATTTTCGAAACAATGGATAAAAAGAATTTCATGTGCTGATTAAACATTGGTTTTTGATGGGGAAAAATACTGATGGCTTGATAAGCATTATGGAGATTCTGCACCAGGAAAATCAACTATCATTGATTGGTAGGCTGAATTTAAACATGGTTGTACAAACACCAATGACGCTGAACACTCTGGTTGCCCAAAATTATCAGTTGTTCGGAAAACATAAAAAAAGTCCACAAAATAGTTTTGAAAGACCATAAAGTGAAGTTGTATGAGATAGCTGACACCTTAAAGATATCAGAAGGTAGTGTGTTTACAATTTTACACAAGAATTTGAGAATGCATAAGTTGCTTTCAAAGTGGGTGCCATGTTTGCTCATATCGGACCAAAAACAACAACGCATTGATGATTCAGAGTGCTGTTTGGAGCTGTTCAAGCAAGATAAAAAAGATTTCTTGCATCAATATGTGACAATGGATGAAACATGGATTCATTACTACACACTTGAATCAAAAAGATCGTCAGCTGAGTGGACAGCAGCCAGTGAAAGTCGTCCAAAGCAACCAAAAACTCAAAAGTCAGCTGGCAAGGTTATGGTATCCGTATTTTGGGACGTGCATGGTATTTTGTTCATCAACTATCTTGAGAAAGGTAAAACTGTCAATAGTGAATATTACATGGCACTATTGGATTGACTGAGTGTAGAAATCAAGAAAAAATGTCCTCACATACAAAAGAAAAAAGTGCTGTTCCATCAAGACAATGCCCTGGGTCACAGGTTGATGAAAACGATGGTTAAATTGAACGAATTACGCTTTGAATTGCTTGCTCACCCACCATACTCTCCAGATCTGGCCCCCAGCAACTAATGGCTATTTACTGACATCAAAAAGATGCTCCACAAAAAGAAATTTGGCTCAAATGAAAAAGTGATAGCCAAAATTGAGGCCTATGAGAGCAAAGACAAATCGTTCTATGAAAAAGGCATTGAAAAGTTAAAGGAGCGTTGGAATGAATGTATCACTCTTGAAGGAGAGTATGTTGATGAATATAAGTTGAATTTCTAAAAAAAAATTGTTTTTCTTAGTTAGACCGGAGACTTATTGAGTGATGTGTTAACCTTTCAATCCACTGAAAAAATGGTTTAAATAAAAAAATTTACAAGATTCACTCAAATTATTTAACCAGTATTGAATTTTTAAAATGAAAAATATTCAAGAAAAATATCAAAAGAAAAATATCCAAGTTTCAACCCTGAATGTATATGTTTTTATCCATCTGTCTCATACTTAGAAAACTGTTAATCGATGATAATTAACCAGAATTCAAAATTATAAGAGAGGATAGATTTTTATTTTTTATTGGCATTTTTTTCGATAGCTGATACCTTCTCTCAAGCAAAACATGTCTTTCCATGTGTTCAACAAAACTCCAGGGAATTGTTAAGATGTGTTACTAAATTGACCAACACTGTACTAAGTACATCTCTCAATGGTGTAGAGACGTTACAAACAGCTACATTTACTCTACAAAACGCAGCTGCACCTACCCACATCATGGACANACCAGAATTCAAAATTATAAGAGAGGATAGATTTTTATTTTTTATTGGCATTTAATTAGAAAAAATTAATAGATTTATATAATGTAAACCAAAATGGATTTACATTATATAAATCTATTAATTTTTTCTAATTTTAAAAACAAATTGGAAAATTAATTATTGTTTTCAAAACAAATTCTATTAATCCTTCATTTAAAATTATCACATGATGACACTGAATACACATTTCCAAAGCATGATTCATAAATATTGTTAAGTTCAATTGTAACATGTGTCAGGTGTGTGGATGTCAGCAAGTGTTGATGGACAGTCCACAGCTTTGTCACACATGTCAAGTGGGTGAGATAATAGTATCCCCAAGAATGTAGGGTGAGATTGTTCCGCCTAGAGAGGGAGAAATTGTGTGCTACTTTGTGGTGTATCGAGTCAGTACTGACTGGGGAGCTAACCAGAGTGGGTAGCTGTGTGGCTGGTCAGGAACCAGTATTGTAATTATCAAATAATTGTCGGGTGCCAGAGAGTTGCTCGATTGTGGAGTGCCAGAGAGTCACTCGCTGATTTGGAGACATTAAAGTGTAATTGTGTTGTTATTGTTAGAAAGGAAGTGTGTACTGTGTTCTTTTAAACCATGAAAACGAGAACATTTTACACCACCATCATCACAACAAATATCAATAATATTAAATATTTTATTAATGAATACAGTAGAGCATCGATTATCCGACTCAATTGGGGACTCAGGTTGGTCAGATAACCGAAAAGAATGAAAAAAATACATTATTAGTATAGTATATTAGTATATCCCATGTAATTAGTATATTGCTATTAACCAACTTTGCGTTGAACTTTTATCGATGTTAAGCCTAACAAATTTTTTTTTTAAATAATAATCGTCACTATTGTAGCGTTAAAAATTATTTTTAAATTATTTTATTGCTCACAAAACAAACAACCACTCATAATTAGAAAATTAAGTCTCGTTTAAATACTGGCCTCCCTTCAATGGTCGAGCTATGTTGCCAGCTAAAACATGCAAAAATTTATAAAAAATTATATTAAAGTAGCCAAGACATAGCCAAATATTGTAGTGCCACATCACTAGCGGACAATTGAAATTTGCCGACTAGAACGGTCGGTTAACCGAGGTGACGGTTAATCGGGGGTCGGATAATCGATGCTCTACTGTATTTCAAAAAGAAAAAAAATATTGTTTTCTTTTAAAATAATTTTACAATTTGTATTGTAATATTTGAATGTAGAAAACCTTTCTAAAGTAAGATTCACTATACAGTCACATTGCTCTATTAACTAATTAATTCCCTACTGGTAGGATTTCTCATTTCCCAGTCTTTTGCATATCCTGGAATTTCGGGAAAAAAGTGAACTGTTTCCCGGGATAGAATTAATTATTTTTAAGATATACAAAATATCTTGAAGGATAATTTTCATTTTTTAAATAAAACATAATACAAAATATTATTGTAAATTTTTATAATAAGATTTTAAAAAGCAAAGATGGTCAATACTCCAATCACTCAATCTGATTCTTATTTCAGTAATGAAAAGTACTGCTATCGAGAATGCCCTTTCTGATTCAATTGATGTGAGTGGAATCATGTTTAATGCATTTAAGAAAAGACAGATGTTATGCGTTTTTTCACCTGTAGCCTGGAAGATTCCTAGTTTGTTTTCGAGATTGTAATACTTCTTTTGCTCTCTAGTATTCTTGATTTGTCTACCTTGGCTACTCTAATAGCAGCATCAAGCTTACACCTGATAAATTGGCAGTTTTTTTGGCTTTAATAATCAGGTTTATGAAGAAAAACTTCATACTCATTTGTACCCTTATGCAATTTGCACAACCTGGTGTTATGCAGTTATTGAAGATACTTGGCATGGTTAAAAATTAAGACAGCATAAGCACAATTATTCCAGATATTACAGGTTCTGACAAGTAAAGAATTTTCAAAGTCTTGCCACAAATAAGCTACATACTGATTATTGACCATTTGTGACATGCTATAACAAGCAAAAATTTAAAAAACTAATAAGTTAGCTTTAAAATTAATAAATACAAATATATTCTGACAGTTTATGAGTTAATTATACTTTCTATTTGCAAAATTTCCTCAACCTTAACACAAAATAAGAAAGTGAAACTTTTTAAGAAATTTGCAGGATTTCCCGGAATGAGAAGAATTTCCCAGAATATTTCCAGGGTTAAAAATCAACTGGTATCCTGGGACCCCGTTTGAGAAACCCTACCTACTAGAAATATCATATTGTTTGGCACATTCAAATGATCAAAAAAACTACAAATGGATATGAGATGATACGAATAAACTTGACAACAGAGCATATGAAATTGCTTAACTTATAGATCTATAGAAATCATTTTATTTTAAATATTATAGTTTAGAAATATTTTAAATGATTTGGCTAACTTTATATATCATTTGCCATTTATAGATAGATATTGATTAGAATCAATTGAAATAATTTTAGATCAAACATACAAGTCAAGCTCTGAATGAGACAGTTGGGACCTTATCAGAGCTGTAGAGCATACCCATAAAAGCAAAAAAGTCAATGGAACCATACCAAATAGACACCCACAAATGCTGTAAATAATCAGGCTATAATTTAGAAAAAGTAATTATAAATTACAAATTAATTTGACACTACAGGGAGGCATTAGGCACCATCTCATATTAAAATTAATAATTATAATTTTAATACAAGCCAAGTATAGCCCAATTATTTACAGCTGTTGTGGGTGTCTATTTGCTATACATCGGGCTTCTATTGGTATTTCTACATGGAGCCATACCTCTACAAACAACCCTTCCCATGATACAGACAACTGCATTAAATTATATCATTTGACAATATTTAAAATAATAATGACTAATTTCACTTAACATTAATACATATTTTTGTATTGTCAACTGATATAAATTAATATGAATTGTTATAAAGTGAATATTTCAGATTACAAAGTGAAAAACAAACATTTCATATCCTTTCATTCTCAATGAACATTAATAAATTGTATCTATTACCCAAATGATCTATCTATTAATGTTCATTGGAAATGAAATGAAATGTTTGTTTTTCACTTTCAAATATGAAATATTCACTTTATAACGATTAATTTATATCAGTCGACAATGTCAGGCTCACATCAGTTGTATTGAAATGATACATATATCATTTCAATACAACTAATGTGAGCCTGACATGAAATACTCATTCAAAACAATTTGTATTAAACGATATCAGTTGACAATATTTCAAATGATACCAATTTCAATTATCTCAATTAACATCATTTAAATTTAAATTATTCCAATTATACTATTTCAAATGTCACCAACTGATGCTTTCACTAGGGATTAAGAATGTAAACAAAGTTTTAACAGTAAGTTAATCTCATTAAGTTAAGTTCAGTAACTTATAGATTACATCCATACTTATTAATATAAATTAACTAATTCTTAGATAATCTAATCTACTAAACAACGTAAAAACTTATAATTTAAATGGTCTGGGAGTCTCGGGAGTTCTTTCTCCTTTTTTCATTTTGCTGCAATTCAGATCTTTCACATACACGTTACTTTGGTAACGTGTATTTCATTTTACTTTTCAAAAAACAATACACGACTTTCTCTCCGCAAATACAAAACCGGAAGCATGTGTGATTTTTGACGTTGCCAACTCGATGACGAAATTTATTTATATATAATTTTTTTTTTTTTTTTTTAACTCTGTTCTCCTTTTGAGCGCTAAAGCGGAGGTTCACTAAATAGTAACTATTTATATAATATAAAAATATACTACTACTTGCACCATCAGAATAATATTGAATTATGGCAGTTACTTTTTGGCCGATGGCCGAGCTACCATCGCTCTGGGGAATCCGAGATTAAATCCGGATGGGTCGAAAACACCAAGAATTTTTCGGGGTAGTCCGGATATTTTGGGTTCCAGGGGCGTCCAGAGTCGTCGCCAGGGGCAGGACCCAAAATTTACATTGGCCCCTAGTAAATAATTACAGGTAACCCTCGTATAACACGGTAGTTACGTTCCAAAAAATTGCCGTGTTATGCGAATCCGTGTTATACAAAACAAAGAACTAATACGAAAAGGAGGGTTAGATTCCAAAAATTAAAAATTATGCTAGTATATTTTCATAATTAAGATAAATATCTTTATTAAAATTTTTTTAAGTGATACATATTAATATAAATTAAACAATATTTTCTTCGTCATCACTAAAAACACTATTAATTAACCGAGAGCGTTTTCTTTTTGGCAAGTTATCCTTATCCTCTAAGCATTTTTCTGCTTTATCTTCAGATCCATGCTTTACCTTTTGCAAAATGTATGTAATTTTAGATTGCTTGCTTCTAGTTAAAAGGTCCTTATAAATTTCCTTATATGGTGCTAAGCACTTATGAAGAATAAAGCAAGTATGGAATGAAGGAAAAACATTCGGCAACATCAGAAGCAGAAGCGTCGCGATCTGGCAACATTGAAACACATTTCGAGAAGGACCACCTGTATCGACAGAAGGCGAGAAGAGAAAATTTACATACTTAAGTACTAATAGTTCATGAAAATAATAATTTTCGTGAACTATTATTAGTTAAGTATGTAAAAATTTATTACATTTCCTGTTGTACGAGGGTTTTACCCATTTCTCGAACCGTGTCAGAGTGAATCCGTGCTATAAAAGTACCGTGTTATACGGGGGATGGTAGCAATTCTCGAACCGTGTTAGAGCGAATCCGTGCTATAGAAGTGCCGTGTTATACGGGGGTTACCTGTATTTGAAAATTTATTTTGAGTTTTATTTTCCCGGCTATTATGTATACATAACAAGGGAAAATATTGGAATCGTGTTAAATTTGATCCACCGAGCTTTAATGCAAATTTCTGGGTTCGGGAGTCGTTTTAAAGCCCGTGAACTTAAAAATGTCAAAAAATGGAGAAAAATTCCGTGGATGTTTTTGTATGTTTGTGTGTTGGAGTTTATTTCGTCTAATTAACAGCCTAGACCAGGGATGACCAATTCTCGGCCCACTCCGGATGGCCGAGAGGTCACGGTGGCAGCTTACCGCTCCGGGAGACCCGAGTTCGAATCCTAACAGGTCAAAAAATCCCCAAGAATTTTTCGGGGGGTGGTCCGTTCAGATATGTCGGGTCCCGTCTCTCACCACCATTGTGGGCCTGGTCGAACCCATAATGAGCTTGCAAAAAAGAGTCCCTCTTAGTGCCCACAGGGCGAAAAGAGTTTAAAAAAAAGTCCTCGGCCCACTGAACCCTAAATTTTTTAGGTACAGTACACTTTCATTTATTTTGATAAAGTTTGTCGTAAAAATTATTCTCGTTTCACTGGATACACTTTAATGTCGAAATGGCGTAAATGGTGCTAGAAAATTGTTTTATCTAGAAAACTGTTATGCATGGTAATACATACTGTTTGAACAATTCTTTTCGTGCATGAAAACATCAAACTGCTGAAAGAAATATGTCGATTGATTCCCATTTAACTAACATTCTTAGAATTAAGACTAGTACCATTAAAGCAGATACTCGTATTGGCAATATTATAAAAGGAAGGCAATGTCAAAAATCGCATTGAATTTATTTATACTTTGTGTGAGTATAATTTTTTAATGTCAATAATACAGAATTTTTTGTAATTATATAAATTTGTTATTAAAATTTGATATTCATATTTTGGACTTTTTAAAAGTATGTATTTATATAAGGTACTTTCGTGGCCCGCAGAATATACGTAAATTTCTAATTTGGCCCATAAGGATAAAAGGTTGGACAACCCAGGCCTATGTCATCCGGCCGTCCATATTTTTATTATTTGAGGCAATTTGCTAATTTTGTACATTCATATTAATATTTGGTATTCAATACAATATTGCAATTGTTTTTATTTGTCTTAGATTTACTAAATTAATAAATCAAAATCTGCTGTAGATAACTGCAGATCTTTGATTACGTAATATTCTTATATAAAAAGGATATTTGTTTTGTTTGAAACGTAGCTGAAATTATAATTACTAAATCTAATAAGAATTTAATTTGATAAATATCCAGTGATTGTAAAAAGTTAAGATTTTTTTCTGAAATTTGGCAATTGTTATGTGCTTACCTTTTTAATCAATTCATTACACCCGGCTTTTTTTTAGTTATTAAAAAGTCACCCATGTAAAACAATAGAAATTTTAATATATAAAGTGATAGTAATTAGAGAAGACGTGTGTTCAGTCCTCTTTAGAAAGATATATTGGGCAGAAATCTCAAACAAATTTGGCATAGCCTACGTACTGTGCTGAGTATTCGATTTTGATTTTCAGGAATAAAACTGACTTAATTTACTGCATTCTTTATGTTACTAGCGAGGTTGAGGCCGAAGTTTTAAACGCGAAAACGTTTACATCGGACGTTCAGCACCGCTTTCCCGTAAGAGTAGAAGTTTGACAATGGTATTTGGATAGTCAGTGGAATCATGCTCGACATTCAAAACACCATTGCCAAACTACTAGACTTACGGCAAAGTGGCGCTGAACACGTTTTCGCGTTTAAAACTTCGGCCTCAACCTCGCTGCTACCGGTATTAATAATTTTCTCCCATAAACCAAAGTCGATCTATCACGTGATAATTGATAGATCGACTTTGTTGGGTTGTTATAACATAATACGGGAAGTATTGTAATCAGTGGTGTACTGTAGTGGGGGCGGCCCGCGCCCGGGCGGCACTTTTTAGGGGGCAGCAAAATTACCTTTTAGGAGGTGGCAAAATTTCACAATAAATAATAATATCTAATAATATATTGTAAAAATTTTAAACATCCTAATCTATACTTGCATCGTGCCTATGATAGTGCTATCGTCCGGACAGTCCGGGAATCGGTAATTTTTTCATCCGAGGAAATCCTGCGAAACCTGTTGACTTTTTTTTGCTTGTACGATTCATTCGCGTTCATATACACTACTAATATCCAATAGAACTATTTTAAACAGGTCGCTGCACTACCACCGAACTTTTCATTGCTTGCTTGTTTTGTGACAAAACTGAATTTTGGTCTTTTAAATTGAAATACCTAAATAAGGGGGGCCGAAATTTTCCTCCGCCCCGGGCGGCTGACACCCACGGCACGCCACTGATTGTAATCTCAAATTTTTACTTTTGTGTTACTTTTCTGGCTGTTTTAAATTAATGTAAATTCTAGCCACTGTCACGTAACATAGGTTACATCTCCGACTATTATAATATTGTAATCATGTCACATTTGATCATTCGGGCTTTTGGAATCGTGATATTTTGACATCTGTGAACCCAAAGTCAAACTATGGAAAAAATTCCTTAGATATATATGTGTGTTGTAGTCTATTTCGCATATCTCGGTATGGGGTAATGATTAAGAAACGAAATTTGGCACAACAGCTTGAATATAAGGGTCATTGATGCTATTAAATTTTGGAGATTAAAAATCAATGTTTTTTTTGTGGTTTTAGGCTCTTTACCGCTCAGAGCACAAAAAGGCCAACAAATACTAGTGATAAATCGATTGGGTGAGGATAGAGGTCATGTCATTTCTCGAGAGGGATCAAACTTAAAGATTTTACTTAGTAGGGACTGTCCATAAATTATGTCCGCATTTTTTCTTGAAATTTTTATTCCTACCTTCCTCTTGTCCCAGTATGTCAAAGTCTCCATAACCCCCTTCCTCTTCGGACGTCCAACAAAACTCGACCCCTTAATATTTTACTTTTTTGTTTATATATTGTCTACTTGGACCTTGTTTATAAATGCAAATACTAGTACTTAGCAAAGAGAGGAGACTTCCTCTCTTTGCTAAGTACTAGTATTTGCATTTTTCATGAAATAGAGAGGGTGCTGCATTTTTACAAAATGGCTACTTTATTCGGGTCGCTTGTAACTAGTAATGTAAAATTAATCATATATTACTATCCGATATAACGATATATGATGCTTGTAGCTGTTTATCGAGAAATATTATAGGAGAACAATTATTGCTAACAGGATACATCATTGTGGGGTATCAAAACAAAGGAGTGAGATCGTTCTATACATACTTGTGCCCTTTGCGTAAAAACATCAGCTTTGACATTGTCCCATCAGGGCCAAATTTAAAAATAAGCTATGTAAGTTGTTGCTTAGGGCCTCAAGTTTCAACAGGCCTCAAACATTTCTACAAAAAAGAAAATTGAAGTCAAATTTTGTAATAAAAAGTTTTTTACAAACCAACAAAATATACTTTACTTTTTATTTTGTATAATCAATAATATATATGTATAATAATAATATATAAAAGACACTTGCAATGAAATGAAACCATATAAAAATAAATATAACAAAAATCATTCATGGAAAAGAATAAACTACATGTCTACATTAAAATCCAACACAAACTTATTTTATAAACAGAATGGAATTTTTATTTACATTAGAAATGTTTTTCAACCTCTCAAGTCTCTCTNCATTAAATTAAAAAAAAAAATTAACATAAAGTCTTTTTTTAAAAAAGTGATAAAAACCAATTTAAAAAAAGATTTTTAATGGAACGCATATAAAAATTTAATTAAATTCAGTTATAAAACACGAGTTGTGAAACTTCATCTTTTTTTTCCAATATCCGTATTAAATCAGAATATGTCTGATTTAAT